AGATGGGGTGGGTGGGCGGGGTTTATGTTTTGCCTTTTTTTTCTTAGTGTACGTAGTATTCTTTGAACAACACAATGCTCAAAAACATGTTTTTAATTTCTTGTAAAGAAATAAGTGTTTTACAGTTAAGCTCCGCCCCCATTGATTCACGACGAATAAAAAAAATCATCACAATTGCGATAGGGCGGGTGGGCGGGCTGACATTTTGCCTTTTTGTTTAATATAAGTAGACTTTTTTTCACAACATGAAACGTAAAATATATTTAAAATGGAAAGTTTATATAAGGAAACATCAATTTTACAATTAGGCTCAGCCCCATAATTGCAAAATACATATTTCCTTGCAAAAATGTACCATTTTTACCATGTTTTAAGTTAGTTGTTGTGAAAAGATGGCAATGTATATTAAAAAAAAAGAAAAAAAATATAAGCCCCGCCCACCCACCCTGTATCAATTGTAATGATTTTTTTTATTCGTCGTTAGCCAAGGAGGCGGAGCTTAACTGCAAAATCCTATTTCGGAAATTAAAATCATTTTCAGTATCGTGTTGTTCAAAGAATACTATGAATATTAAGAAAAGTAAAGCCAAATATTAGACCCCACCCTTACCCGCCCCGAGCTCAATTCTCAATTCTGATGAATTTTTCATTCGTTGTGAGGTCGAGGGGCGGGGCTTATCTAGAGGAATTTACCATTTTAAATATGTTTTAAGTTTCTAGGAATAAAAAAAATTATCAGAATTGAGATGGGGTGGGTGGGCGGGGTTTATATTTGACCTTTTTTTCTTAATATAGATAGTATTCTTTGAACAACACGATCCTCAAAAATATGTTTTTAATTTCTCGTAAAAAATAAGTGTTTTACAGTTAAGCTCCGCCTACATTGATTCACAGCGAATAAAAAAATCATCACAATTAAGATAGGGCGGGTGGGCGGGCTGACAATTTGTCTTTCTGTTTTAATAAGTGTAGACTTCTTTTTACAACATCAAACTTAAAATATGTTTAAAATGTAAAATTAATAAGTGCAACATGCATATTTCCTTACAAAAATGTACCATTTTAACCATGTTTTAAGTTTCTTGTTGTGAAAAGACGGCTATGTATATTGAGAAAAAAAAGGCAAGATATAGAATTATTTATTAGACGCAATTTTTTAATCAGATAATTTGTCATTGTGACAGATTCACAGATCATTGCGACATTATTTAAAAAGAAAATGCCTAAAATAGTTTTACTGCAACAAAAAATTGCAATAAAAAGATGTTTTTTGCAGTTTCGAAAAGACAGGCCCGATCTTTCTTTCGAAATGTGAGGATCTCGAACATATTTTCTGTAATGTAAAAATACGCTGTAAAATATTTTTTCATTTTTTTCTAATAGGTGGGAATATCAACTGTGGCGAAAATTTTATCAATTGGGGAACAAAATTTAAAAACATCACTATCTGGCAAGCGAAAACTAACGGATTTATTTACAAATTATATGTTTCGGAAAGACCTGCAACGACAAATTTGGCAACTTAATGAAAAAAACGAATATTTCAACCTAGATAATCTTTTGACATATTCTAGGGAACAGTTGGAATTTAAAGGGGGGCGAACCACTTTATACAAAATTCTTAAGTCAATGGGTTATAAACACAGGGAATTAAATGGTCGCAAAATTCTATGTGAACAAAAACATGTCGTTGCACCCAAAATTATATACATATAAAATTTGGTTCAGTGATGGACTGTCTTTTTCTCTTAGTTGTACTACTTGATAACTTTACCACATGACAATGAGGAAAATAGTGAACTAAGATACAAATCTCGCTGTCGTTAACCTCCTCGATTATACCTTCTTTCAACCATTCTCGAAAAACTTGGTCTTATTCATTGTAATAGCCATCCTTTTCCAGCTTATTTATGAGATTATCGAGTCTGTTCTTAGCTAGGTTCAGGTTATCATGTAGTGGTTTGTGTCTATGAATCCATGGCATTGAGACTTCGTATCTTCCATTTAGTAGTCTAGTCACTGTCTTCTGAAAATTATCAAGGATTTCTTGCTCGTGCTCTTGGTTAGATTTCCGCTCTTCTGGATTCAAGTCAAGTTTGGTGTTGTTAACAAAAGTGACAGAGCGACAATGTTGCAGGATTTTTGTGCATCTGGAGGAGGAGTGGCACTTTACCCATCAGAGTCCAGCCTAGTTTAGTCTTCATGGCAACTAAACCGCATTTTAAAATATGTTGTTCACCACAGAAGAGATTTCCTGCTTTATTAGGACCGATTAAGATTTCGATGGGTGCTTGGCTTCTCTCGTTGATTTTGATATTAAGGTCTTGCAGGCTTTTCATCCATGGACCATTTCGTATACCCAATACATTAGTACAAATGACTGATTGGTCCAAAGCTTCAAAATGACAAGTGCAACTTTTATCAGGATTGTCCAAATAGACACGATAGCAATGATGAGAAGTGACTTCAGATGAAAGACCTCCAAACGAAACATGAATAAGTTCTTCTGTTCTAAGGATTTCGTAACCTATTTCTTTGGTTGCTTCGCTGCCGATTTATGACCGGTGTGATCCCGTGTCAATAATTGACACTTCACACAGTATTACTGGACGTGTGATATCTTTGCCCTTTAAATTGACCACTAATAATGTCTGTAAAAATCCATCCTAATATGTAGCGTTATTTAGAGTGTTGCACAAGCCTTCTGTTTGTGGAGCTTTTGAAGGTTCTTCATGGTTCTCCATTTGACAACTTAGGAGATTTCGAACACACCAAGGTTACGTGTTTGCCTTCACAGGACTGACAGTTTAGTTTGACAGCTGTATTTAGCTAAGATAAAACTGATTTTAGCACATTAGATACTCTCTAAGAAAAGAGAGGGCGGGTGGGCGGGACAAGTGCCTACCAGGATGAAACTGATTTCGGCAAATGAGATACCCTCTAAGAAAAGAGAGAGTGGGTGGGTGGCGCTCGTATCAGCTAAAATAAAACTCTGACCTGATCCGTTTATGATAATTATGGAACTCAGTTTTTTTTTTGAAAAATTTGAAACAATCTGTGTATGTCATTTGCCAAAATCGGTCTTATTTTGGTAAGTACTAGCTCCGTCCACTCACCCTCTCTTTTCTTAGAGGGTATCTCATTTGCCAAAATCAGTTTTATCTTAGCAGGTAGTTAGCCCTGCCCACCCACCCTCTCTTTTCTTAAAGGATATGTTATTTGCCAAAATCAGTTTTATCTTACCAGGTAGTCTGCCCCGCCCACCCACCCTCTCTTTTCTTAGAAGGTATGTTATTTGCCAGAATCAGTTCTATCTTAGCAGGTATTAACTAAGAAAAATCCATTAAAGTATAACCAACCAAACACTAGAGATATTCAACCTGTTATCTGCTAAGATAGAACTGATTTTGGCAAATGACATACCTTCTAAGAAAAGAGAGGGTGGGTGCGAGGGGCTGACTACCTGCTAAGATAAAACTGATTTTGGCATATCAGATACACTCTAAGAAAAGAGAGGGTGGGTGGGTGGGGTTTGTACTTACTGAAATAAGACTCTTATCTGACCTGTTTATGAGCTAATTTTGGGACTCCGTTTTTTTTTGAAAAATTTGAAACAATCTGGTGTATGTCATTTGCCAAAATCGGTCTTATTTTAGTAAGTACTAGCCCCGTCCACTCACCCTCTCTTTTCTTAGAGGGTATCTCATTTGCCAAAATCAGTTTTATCTTAGCAGGTAGTTAGCCCCGTCCACCCACCCTCTCTTTTCTTAAAGGATATGTTATTTGCCAAAATCAGTTTTATCTTACCAGGTAGTCTGCCCCGCCCACCCACCCTCTCTTTTCTTAGAAGGTATGTTATTTGCCAGAATCAGTTCTACCTTAGCAGGTATTAACTAAGAAAAATCCATTAAAATATAACCAACCAAACACTATAGATAGTATTCTTTGAACAACACGATCCTCAAAAACATGTTTTTAATTTCTCGTAAAAAAATAAGTGTTTTACAGTTAAGCTCCGCCTACATTGATTCACAGCGAATAAAAAAAATCATCACAATTAAGATAGGGCGTGTGGGTGGGCTGACAATTTGTCATTCTGTTTTAATAAGTGTAGACTTCTTTTCACAACATCAAACTTAAAATATGTTTAAAATGTAAAATTAATAAGTGCAACATGCATATTTCCTTACAAAAATGTACCATTTTAACCATGTTTTAAGTTTCTTGTTGTGAAAAGACGGCTATGTATATTTAGAAAAAAAAAGGCAAGATATAGAATTATTAGACGCAATTTTTTAATCAGGCAAACGATTGTCTTAATTTTGTCAGCATAGATAATTTGTCATTGTGACAGATTCACAGATCATTGGGACATTATTTAAAAAGAAAATGCCTAAAATAGTTTTACTGCAACAAGAAATTCCAATAAAAAGATGTTTTTTGCAGTTTCGAAAAGACAGGCCCGATCTTTCTGTAATGTAAAAATACGCTGTAAAATATTTTTTAATTTTTTTCTAATAGGTGGGAACATCAACTGTGGCGAAAATTTTATCAATAGGGGAACAAAATTTAAAAACATCACTATCTGGCAAGCGAAAACTAACGGATTTATTTACAAATTATATGTTTGGGAAAGCCCTGCAACGACAAATTTGACAACTTAATGAAAAAAACGAATATTTCACTGTAGATACTCTTTTGGCATATTCTAGGGAACAGTTTGGATTTAAAGGGGGGCGAACCATATTATACAAAATTCTTAAGTCAATGGGTTTATAAACGCGGGGAAGAAAAAAAAAATTCTTAAATATATTTCTGGCATATTTTGTAACCTTTAATTGAATAAAACATAACCTAACGAAAAAAGTTCAGGGAATTTTTATTCTTCTGCATCGAATACCAACAAACTCACTAGATTTTCATGGCCAACCCTACTACATATATAAAGATCAAATTTTCAATTCATGCATGTAGATCTAGTTTCATCCGTTCATTTCTTTGATTCAAGTCAGCTCTGTGTTTATAAAAATTCGATCTTGGTTCTTCAACCCAACAGATGATTAAGCGTGACCCACGTGAAGTAAGTCTTAATACTCCACCACTTTCTTTTACGACTCTTTTTAGACTTGCTGGGTGCGAAGAACTCCGTTCCAAGCAGCCCTCATACTCCTGTTATTTGTATTAATCTCGTTCTTCATTGCAATGATCGTCCTTCTCATTGTTTCCATCAGCACTAAGCAGGGTAAAACTGCAAAATGCTTAGAAGTATGTGACAGTATCGGTGACGAACGGTACGGGGAGTCCGAGTCACACATGAGAACTATTGCACGGCGGGGAGAGAGTATAATTTTGAACAATTGTTTGACACCGAGTATTACACAAACAATAAACTTTACCCACGCGCCAAATAACATAATGAATTTTAGGAGTAGCTAGAATGGTAAATAATGTAGATTATAATTCAAATCTACATGAAAACTGCACTGAATACAGGGTACTAGACAATATGAGTTCGCCAGATTTAGATTCGCAGCTACTGTCAACAGAAGACGAAATTGAAGTGAATTTTCCAGAAATGGGTTTAAATGGTTCTAGTCGGTCAACCAGAAACACAAAAAACGCGGTCGCATCTGGAACCAAACGAACTTCACCGAAATGCTTTGACGAACCCCCAAGATTCCCTGCTGTTGCAGCCCTACTCGAAAACCTTTACAGCGACGATTCTGAAGAACAGATGTTTAAATGTGCTGTTGCAGTGGTGGCAGTAAACTGGGTTCTCGCTCTAGAAGACTGCGTAGATGACGACAACACTCAATCGCTTGCTGTCAGAATCAATTCTAACTTCTGGTCCACCGGAGGACTTCTGAAGAAAGTCAAAAATGTAGTCAAAGTCGATGGATTGGTTGTCATCCAGTTGGTGGAAGACCAAGACGATTCGTGTTTCTTTCCGGCTAATCTGTCTCGTGACGTTGGTGACGACGCAACGGTTTATTTTTGGAACGGTGATATCACCCTTCCCCTAGCAAAAAAGAGTAAATTCGAATCTATTCGCTCGAATAATTTTAAGTTACGGAAGTTTGACAACCGAGTTTTGTTTGAAGATGACAGGTGCGAGGGTCATAATGGGGCTCCTATTTTCGACGAAAAGAAAAAATTGGTTGGTGTTCAACTGGGAACGTGTAGTATTAAAGCCCTATATACAAATTTTGACTGGTATAAGATAATTGAAGTATTGACATAACTTTTTCCTTGTATTTGAGTTGTTAATAAATAACAATCGCAGTTAGCGAAATTGTTTTTTAATAATTGTTTAGTTACCATTTTCAAAACATTGAAGCGTCAAAGTGAAAATGGTTAAAGTAAGTATAATAAACAGAAATTTTAATTGATCTAACTGCACAATTTTAGAACTGTTGGATGAATCTAACTCCTTTTCAACTAGCATGCGTTCTAATCCTGATAGTAGCGATACCTTTTTTCATAGCAATGTTAGCCATTTACTTGATGTATGGCGTAGTATGGCACAAATCTGAGGAATGTCAAAACTTATGTTGTTCTTTGGAGTCAAGCACACGCCTACCACCACAGGAAAAGTCCGAAATAGCGTCACCATCAAAAGAAAGGCTTCCAATACGAGGACCATCGCAAACACAGCCCACAAAAGCCCCAGTACCAAAAACGACCAAAACGGCAAAACAAGAAAAAGGACAAAACGGTCAAGGACCCCCATCACCAACGCAACCAGTGCCAGTTACAACGGTACCAGAAGAAGATGACCCGCGATCAGATGAGAAATCAGAGGAATCGGAAACAGAGGAAACGGAATCAGAGGAATCGGAAACAGAGGAAACGGAATCAGAGGAACCGGAACCAGACGAAACGGAATCAGAGGAACCGGAATCAGGCGAACAGGAATCAAGGAAACGTCATGTTTGGAAATCGGAAAAAACGGGAGGACAGCAATTCGGACCAAGTACTAATCGCCCATCATCCGCGCGGCGCGAGAGGCGAGAAGATATAAAAGGACAGAGAGCAAAAGGAAACCCTGCAAAAGAAACCCCATCACATATGCACACAACAACCGAAGAAGCAGAAACGCAAATTCCGCAGTTATTCTGTCCATCAAAACTAAGCAACAGACTGCAAGAACAAGCAAAGCAAGAGACCAACAGTGGAAAGCAAGGTTTTTTGGAACCTTCAGTAAATGGTAAGAAAACAATATCCACCTATATCTTCTAAAAGACGTTTTTAGATAACACCAAAGTACCAAATGTTCCTGTAGCAGCTCTTCTGGACAAGCTACATGTAGACGACACAAGCTATTATTTCAAATGCACTGCTGTCGTTATTTCAGATGGTTGGGCTCTGAGTGTTAGTAAATGTGCCAAAACAGGCATTTCTGCAATCAGATTCGGGTCGAGGTATTGGTCTCAAGGTGGGATTTTCAGAGAAGTTAGAGAAGTTTTGCATCCGAAAGGAACAAATTCGTTGGCGCTCGTCGGTTTTATGAGAAGTGGTGTTGTTGGAGCTTCAGTCGGACGATTCTGGGAAACTAAGAAGGTGCTAAGTTACAACTGGAGAAGCAAGTTACATTTGCCTTTAGCTGAACGAAAGAAGTATGAACCTCTTGAAATTTCTGAGATGGAGCCGCGAAAAAATGTTAGTTGTTCTAATTCCAAGAAAAAACAAGTTTTCTGTTATGTGATCGACAAGAGTGACTGTGACCGTGATGTGAATGCGCCTATGTTCAGCGAAAATCTGCAGTTGGTAGGGTTTCACTTGAAAACGTTGTGCCCAGAAAATACTAATAGTTCTATTGTAGTTTATGTTAATATCTAGTTTTAAGGCTTGGTTTCGTGAGTAAATGTTAAAACTAGAGAAGTTTTTCTTTTAACTCGGATGAGGATTTCCGAAAACTGTCAGAGAACGTAATTTTGAACGATTGTTTGAGACCGAGTTTTACACAAAAAATTATAGGACCGTCGAAAATGTAAAGCGAAAAAACTTTAACATTGATAAAAATTGCAAAATTCAATTATTTCAATATTTGAATTTCCCGACTTCCAAATCTTTCGATTTTTTTTATATCACAATTTTCAATTTTACGATATTTGTTTTTCCTATTTGGACTTTTTCGATTTTGAAGTTTCTCAATTTTTTTTTCGAATTATTAATTTTTCGTTTCTTCAATTTTTCAAGCTCTCGATTTCCAATTTTTAGATTTTTCAATTTTCATTTTATTCTTTTTCGTAATTTCAATTTTGTTTCTCAGTTTTGCAGTTATGCAATTTTTCCAATTTTTCCTTTTTGATAAAAACAGTTGAAAAATAGAAAAACAATCAAATCGCAGATTAGAAATCGAAAAGCTGAAAAATTGCAATAAAATTGAAAAATCGAAAAACTGAAAAAACGGGAAATTGCAGAATCGAAAAAGTGTAAAATCGAAAAGTTGCAAATCGAATAACTGAAGAAGCGAAATATTAAAACTTTAAAAAAATGAAAATTGCGAAACTTAAATATCGAAAAAATTATTAAATCGAAAAATTGGAAATTCAATATTTGAATTTCCTGCTTCCAAATCTTACGATTTTTTTATATCACAATTTTCGTTTTTTCATTTCCTTTATTTTGTCATTTTTCGATTTTATAATTTTTCGTTTATTAAATTTTTCAGATTTTCAATCTTTGACTTTTCAATTGCTCGCTTCTCCAATTTTTGAATTTTTCAATTTTTTTAATTTTCTATATTTCCATTTTACCGTATTTGTTTTTCCTATTCCTATTTTTTTTCTTTCGATTTGTTAATTTTTCGTTTGATAAAAAAGTTGCAAAATCGAAAAATAAAAAATCGGAATAAAATTGAAAAATCGAAAAACTAAAAAGTTGAGAAAGTCGAGAATCGTAAAAGTGGAAAATCGAAAAATTGCAATTCGAAGAACTGAAGAAACGAGACATTGAAAAACTAAAAGTCAAGGAACTCGAAAATCGAAAAAAAAATTAGTTAATCAGAAAACCAAAAAAATTGTAAAATCGAAAAATTATAGAATCGTCAAAATTGCAAAGTTGACAAACTGTTATTGATAGATTGAAATATTGAAAAATTAAATATCGAGCAATTGAAAAATAAACAATCCAAATTAGAAAAATTGAAAAAATAAAAAGTTTTTAAAATTGAAAAAGAAAAAAATTTTAAAATTTATAATTATTATTACATACTTAAAAGGGAAACCAGAAAAATTGCAAATCAAAAACTGAGGAAACGAAAAATTGAGAACCAAAAAAATTAAAAATCCAAAAATTGAAAATTTCATATTAAAAGAGGAAAGAAAAACTATAAAATCACAACATTAAAAACCGGAAAATTGAAAAAATTAAGAAAGTACAAAAGCGAAACGAAAAATTGCAAATCTAAGAAGGGGAAGAAATGGAAAATTGAAAACTCGCGAAATTGTAAATCGAAAATTTGCAAAATCTAAGGATTCCATTACCTAGAAGTTTGAAAATGCAAGAACTGAAAAGATTAAAAATGAAAATTCAAAAATTTTCGAAGAGTATTTCGATATAGTTGTGGGAATGGTCAGCAGAAAAGTTTGTGTATCCTCTCATATTCTCCCGTATTTTCTAAGATTCTGTCGGATTTTCTCGGATTCTTTTGGATTCTTTCACATTCTGTTGGATTCTTATGGATTTTTCCGGATGCTCTCCGTTCCTGTAGAAATTTAGCCCGATTTTCTAGTATTCTCTGGCATTCATTAGAATTCTGGTAGATTTTCTCAGATTCACCAACATTCTCTTGGATTCTTATTCTTTCGGTTTTTTTCAAATTCTTTCGGATTTTTTCTTATCCTCCCAGCATTTCGCCAGATTCTCTCGCATCCTTTTGCATTATTTTGGATTCTTCAGGATTCTTTCCAATTCTCGTGGAATTCGTTGGATTCTCTCGGATTTTCTCGGACTCTTTTAGATTCATTAAGATTATTCCCTGTTCCCTCACATTCTATCGAATTCTTTTTGAGTTTTTCAGAATTCTGTTGGGTTCTCTTGGTTCCCTCATTTGCTTTGGGTTTTTTTGAATTCTTCCGGATTCTACCGATGTTTTCCGGATTCTTCCAGAGAGTAGGTGGGCGGGGCAAATTTTTGATAAGATAAAACTGATTTTGGCACTTGTAACATTTTCGACCATTTTTCTAACTAGAAGAGGTCCGGTCACGCTAGGTCAAGTCAGGCCAGATGCATGAAATAAGAAATAAATTTTATAGCAAATAGTGTAACAAAAAAAAAAAAAATACGATTAGCGTTTTTTTTTCACTTTTTTCATTAGACTTTTCTAGATTCTATTTTAGTTTCCAGTCTCACTCGACAGAAGAACATAACTAGCCCCGCCCACCCACCCTGCCTCTATTTCGATGATTGATTTTATCCGATCTGAATCAAATAAATGATCTTATACTTTGTTACGATTTTTTTTTTCGGAGTCGAGGGTGAAAGGGGCCTAGACGAAGTCTCGCTCGATGGTTTTGATCAGTCGTAGCGAACGCCTGTCACCGATCTCGACCTTTTTTTTTATTGCGGATTGTCGCCGGCAGCTCCGCCAAATTTTGAGTTTTTTTTTTGTCTCTACGAAGTAGTACTGGCGGGGACGGAGACGGCCAAGCGAGAGGAGGGGGTGCAAAGTGACAGAAGAGAGAGAGTTGGTGCCGCGAAGAGGTGTATTTGAGTTTGGCGAGGTTTGACCTGATGGTTTCCTTTCTTTTTTGAGAGGACTCAGTTCCATAGATTGATAGTGAGGCGTATCCCTTGTATAAGGTAAATTTCGTGCCTTTTGCCGCATGTAGGCTTATTGCTCCACCTGTAGGGTCCACGCCAGGGGCGAAGTTTCGGAGCCGTACAGAGGCGACGTAGAGGGCAGCGAAAACGAGGGAAATTTGCTAGGCGCTGTGATCATCGCGTAGCGCCGGTTAGGAGACCCGGAGTTTTTGGATGATCGCGACGTCGAAGACGCGGACCTGGTGAGTTGCACATCGGGGGATCCAGGCTGCGGCAGGACTTGGTCAGCGCGTCGCCGTCGTCCTGTGGGAAGACTCCTGTTTTTTTGTGAGCTCCGAGTAAAAGAACACGCCTTATCGCGATCGGAAATTTTCTTATCGTTTGTCGCCCAGACCAAACCGTTTTTTTAACTGCGTCTCTCTCTTTCACTCTTTACACGCTTTTCAACGTTTTTTCAAGTTTTCACGTACCCGCATAAACTTGATGGCGCCCAATTTTTTTTATTTGTGAAATAGTCAGCATTTCCTGTAACTAGCTAGTAGACCGTTGTTGCGTAGTAGTTCGTCAGTTCATTTGTTGTGGTAATTCGTTACTGACATTAGTTGTAGTTTTGTTACCTTTTACTAACCTAGATTATAATTTTTTTTTTTTGTACTAAAAGCCCTAAATATTTTAATTATACAAGCTCGCCAAAATAATTAGCCTTTCATTCTAAATTAAAATCTCGGATCCACCTACCGGCTCTCCCGGAAGTGAGCACGGGCAAGTGTATCTTCCCTCGCTTTTATAGCAGAGACGAATTTTTAAGGTAACAACTTAATAGAAGTAAAATTAGTCCTTAGAATTAGAAGAGGGGGGGCTAGTACTTACTAAGATAAGGCTGATTTTGGCATATCAAATACCTTCCAAAACAACAGAGGGTGGGTGGGCGGGGCTAATATTTGATAAGATAAAACTGATTTTGGTACTTTTGACATTTTCGACTATTTTTCTAACTAGCAGAGGTCCGGTCACGCTAGGTCAAGTCAGGCCAGATGCATGAAATAAGAAATAAATTTTATAGCAAATAGTATAACAAAAAAAAATACGATCAGATACCTTGTAAGAAAAGATAGGGTGGGTGGGTGGGGTATTAGCAGCTGCTAAGATAAAACTGATTTTAGCAGGTACTAGCCCCGCCCACCCACCCTCTCTTTTCTTAGAAGTTATGTCATTTGCCAAAATCAGTCTTATCTTAGCAGGTACTAGCTAGTTATGTTGTTCTGTCGAGTGGGACTAAAAACTAATAACAGAATCTAGAATAGTCTAAAGAAAAAAGTAAAAAAAAACACTAATCATATTTTTTTTGTTATACTATTTGCTATAAAATTTATTTCTTATTTCATGCATCTGGCCTGACTTGACCTAGCGTTCTAAGAAAAGAGAGGGAAAGCTAGTAGCTGATAAGATAAGACTGATTTTGGCAGGTGACCCAACCTTCTAAAAAAACAGAGGGTGGGTGGGCGGGGCTAGTACCTGTTAAGAAAAGATCGATTTTGGCAAATGAGATACCTTCCAAGTCTTGACATCACTTTTTCCTTGTATTTGCGTTGTTAATAAATGACAATCGCAGTTAGCGAAATTGTTTTTTTAGTCAACAACTGTTTAGTTACCATTTTCGATTGAAGCGTCAAAGTGACAATGGTGAAAGTAAGTATAAGGAATTCACGTTCGGTAGATGTAACTAGATTTGGTAACTTTTTTTTTTAAGCTGTGTAACTGCGGACATAATTGTTCTAGTGTATAATGTATTACTGGAATGTCAGAAAGTAGCTATCAAAAATGTGACATGTAAGTAAGTAAAGGTCAAATATCGAAAATGTGATGGTTTTGTGGTAATCTGGTGAATCTATTTTTGAACCAAGGAGAAAATCGCATCCCTCTAAAAGCCCAAAGAGCAACCCGCATGTAAAATTTTGAATCTTTTCCCTTCACTAGTTTTTTTAGGAGGACAAGCTTTGATGTCATCATCATGGATCCACAATTTCACCATGGATCCGTTCTGGTATATCCATGTCTCATTCAAGAAAATGAAAAGTAAATCTTCACCACAATCACGCAATTGGAGATAGGTACCGCCTTAGAAATTTGATTCTGGCAGCTATAACGTGTTTAAAATGTGAAAAACTTCGCCTTCGGAAACCTAAATTTATACGTGTATTATGTACAATTATTTTCAAAGCCAAATGTTTTACCTCTTACAAAACAATAACGATTATATAAAACTTAAAAACCAATTGTAGAACGGAACCAACAAAGCATGTAGGTATATAAATCTGCGCAGTCGTCTTTCTGATTCTGATTATAATATTAACGGCACAAGCGCCGCTGTATCTGTATTATTTTAAAATTCGAAAAACACTCGACAACATTAGCGAACTTTACGGAGAATATTTCTGCCACCAGTTTAACTGTTTCCGTTTTACCCAATTTTTTGAAAACCACGAAATATTTCTTGTTTCTTTTCCTTTAAAATGAGCTTTCTCGTGATTACTTTTATGGAAACTGTTTCCACGCTGTATTTAAGGATTTTCTAGAAACGAAGCGTGTTGAAATTAGAAAAACTTCGTTTTTTTCCACACAATTCAGATTTGACATTTGAATTAGAAAATTAGACAGTTGATGCCAATCTTAAATTTCTAGTGATCTTAAGATTGCAACTTAACCACAGAAAAGTTTCTGTCAGTTACTTCTACCGAACGTGAATGCTTATTACAAACAGAAATTTTATTTGATTTAACCGCACAATTCTAGAACTGTTGGATGAATTTAACCCCTTTCCAACTAGCATGCGTTCTAATCTTGGTAGTGGCGATACCTTTCTTCATAGCAATGTTAGTCATTTACTTGATGTATGGCGTAATATGGTACAAATCTGAGCAATGCCAAAACTTATGTTGTTCTTTGGATAGAAAGAATGTGTTAAGTAGAGGGCCTGATGATAAAATACCTATAGATGAGAAAACAGGAAAAGATACATTACAAGAGTTTAAAATACCCCCACCACTACAAGAAAAGTCCCCAGAAGCCCCACCACGAGAAGAACCCATAATACCCGAACCACCACAAGAACGCGAAACACCCGAACCACCACAAGAAGAACCCACAATAGCCTCACCACCAACAATCCCACCCCAACCCCCACAGCGACGCCCACTACCATTACCACCAGAAGGCAACGGACAGGAGCTACAAGAACAACTGAGGCCACGACCGCGGCGCCCAAAACGTTTGAGCGAAAGGCGAGAAGAAATAAAAGAAGAAACGCAAATTCCGCAGCTCTTCAGTCCATCAAAACCAAGCACCAGACTGCGAGAATAAGGAAAACAGGACGACAGCAGAAGAAAGCAGAATATTTTAGAACCTTTAGTAAATGGTAAGAGAACAATATCCACCTACATCTTCTAAAAGATGTTTTTAGATAACACCGAAGTACCAAATGTTCCTGTAGCATAGCAGCTCTTCTGGACAAGCTACATATAGACGACACAAGCTATTATTTCAAATGCACTGCTGTCGTTATTGCAGATGGTTGGGCTCTTAGTGTTACTAGATGTGCCGAAACAGGGATTTCTGCAATCAGACTCGAATCAAGGTGGAATTTTCCGAAAAGTTAAGGAAGTTTTGTATCCGAAAGGAACAAACTCGTTGGCGCTCGTTGGTTTCACGAGAAGTGGTGTTACTGGAGCTTCAGTCGGACGATTCTGGGAAACTACGAAAGTGTTAAGTTATAACTGGAGGAGCAAATTACATTTGCCTTTAGCTGAGCGAAAGAAGTATGATCCTATTGAAATTTCTGAGATGGAGCCTCGAAGAAACCTTAGTTGTTCTAATTCCAGGGGAAAAGAAGTTTTGTGTTATGTGATCGACAAGAGTGGCTGTGACCGTGATGTGAATGCGCCTATGTTCAGCAAAGATTTGCAGTTGGTAGGGTTTCACTTGGAAACGTTGTGCCCAGAAAATACTAATAGTTCTATTGTAGTTTATGTTAACATCTAGTTTTAAAGCTTGATTTTGTGAGTAAATGTTAAGACGAGAGAAGTTTGTTGTTTTATTTTCTATGATCCGGACTTTGTCTTCACTATCACAAGGCTCTACTAGTAAAATACTGTAATAACAGGTCGTCATTAAGTATTCATATCGTTTGGAGGCCCCAGACAATTTTCAAAACATGGAGAAGAGCATAAGAACCTGGATTTCTCACCAAAGAAAATCCAGACGTGAATCAAGTAAGAAGCAATATACAAGAAAATGCAGAACATTAGTCAGTTAGATCAGAGATACCTCGACTTGTTACTTGGACAAGACCGTGAAGATGTCGATTTGGATTCTGAGATGGCAAAAATAGACGAGTACATGTGTAAATTCTCAGCTCTAAAAATGAAAGTGGAAACGCAGGTTAATTTATCAGTAGCTGTCATATATAAAAACACACAGAGCACATCGTCGTGTTGCACTCAAAGTTGCTCTAAACTCCAACTAAAGTACCCTCAGGTACAATTTAGAAAATTTGGTGGTGACATTCGTGACTGTTTGGAGTCAGTTTAGAAGAATTCACGAAGATTAGGCGCTTCCTAATGAAGAGAAGTTACAACTTTTGATACAAGCAACGACTCCTAAATCACGAGCATGCCAAATTGTTGAAAGTTATCCACAATTGGGAGATAACTATCTCAAAGTTATCGAACAAGGCATTTTGGAAGACAAGATCTACAGATAGAAGTCTAGGTACGTGAACTTTTACAACGCAACTCCGATCTCTAGAGACTCTAGATGTGCAATCCGACATTTGTTCAGCTACCCTGTTTCCTCTAGTCGAATCATGGCTTCCAGAAGACTTGTTAAGAATTTGGGAAAGATCAATTTTAACAATGATGATAGTTCAAAGGTGCGTCTAAATTGACTCCTGAGTTTTTTGCGCAAAGAAGTTGAAAGCGAAGAACGAGTAGCTCTAACAGTTTCTGGTTTTGGAGAGAAATTCTAACGCAAAGATTCTCCAAAAGACGTTCTTACAGCTACATCATTGTTGCGATGCCGATTTTGCTACGAAACACACTACAACTCCGAGTGTCCAGAAGCTAAAAAGAAATCTCTTACTGAACTAAAGAAAATCCTGTCGGAAAAAGGACGTTGTCATGCCTGCCTTAAATTTGGACAGACTACCTGCTAAGAAAAAACTGATTTTGGCAAATAACATATCCTTTAAGAAAAGAGAGGGTGGGTGGGGGGGGGGCTAACTATCTGCTATGATAAAACTGATTTCGGCAAATGAGATACCCTCTAAGAAAAGAGAGGGTGAGTGGGCGGGGCTAGTACTTACTAAAATAAGACCGATTTTGGCAAATGACATACACAAATTGTTTCGAATTAAAAAAAAAACTGAGTCCCAAAATTAACTCATAAACAGGTCAGGTAAGAGTCTTATCTTAGCAAGTACAAGCCCCACCCACCCACCCTTTTTTTTCTTAGAGAGTATCTGATATGCCAAAATCAGTTTTATCTTAGCAGGTAGTTAGCCCCGCCCACCCACCCCCTTTTTTCTTAAAGGATATGTTATTTGCCAAAATCAGTCTTATCTTAGCAAGTAGCCAGCCCCGCCCACCCACCTCTCTTTTCTTAGAAGGTATGTCATTTGCGAAAATCAGTTCTATCTTAGCAGGTAACAGGTTGAATATCTCTAGTGTTTGGTTGGTTATGCTTTAATGGATTTTTCTTAGCTAATACCTGCTAAGATAGAACTGATTTTGGCAAATGACATACCTTCTAAGAAAAGAGAGGGTGGGTGGGCGGGGCAGACTACCTGGTAAGATAAAACTGATTTTGGCAAATAACACATCCTTTAAGAAAAGAGAGGGTGGGTGGGCGGGGCTAACTACCTGCTAAGATAAAACTGATTTTGGCAAATGAGATACCCCCTAAGAAAAGAGAGGGTGAGTGGACGGGGCTAGTACTTCCTAAAATAAGACCGATTTTGGCAAATGACATACACAGATTGTTTCAAATTTTTCAAAAAAAAAACTGAGTCCCAAAATTAGCTCATAAACAGGTCAGATAAGAGTCTTATCTCAGTAAGTACAAACCCCACCCACCCACTCTCTCTTTTCTTAGAGTGTATCTGATATGCCAAAATCAGTTTTATCTTAGCAGGTAGTCAGTACCGCCCACCCACCCTCTTCTTTCTTAGAAGGTATCTCATTTGCGAAAATCAGTTCTATCTTAGCAGGTAACAGGTTGAATATCTCTAGTGTTTGGTTGGTTATACTTTAATGGATTTTTCTTGGTTAACACCTGCTAAGATAGAACTGATTCTGGCAAATAACATACCTTCTAAGAAAAGAGAGGGTGGGTGGGCGGGGCAGACTAACTGGTAAGATAAAACTGATTTTGGCAAATAACATATCCTTTAAGAAAAGAGGGGGTGGGTGGGCGGGGCTAACTACCTGCTATGATAAAACTGATTTCGGCAAATGAAATATCCTCTAAGAAAAGAGAGGGTGAGTGGACGGGGCTAGTACTTACTAAAATAAGACCGATTTTGGTAAATGACATACACAGATTGTTTCAAATTTTTCAAAAAAAAAACTGAGTCCCAAAATTAGCTCATAAACAGGTCAGATAAGAGTCTTATTTCAGTAAGTACAAACCCCACCCACCCACCCTCTCTTTTCTTAGAGTGTATCTGATATGCCAAAATCAGTTTTATCTTAGCAGGTAGTCAGCCCCGCCCACCCACCCTCTCTTTTCTTAGAAGGTATGTCATTTGCCAAAATCAGTTCTATCTTAGCAGGTAACAGGTTAAATATCTCTAGTGTTTGGTTGGTTATGCTTTAATGGATTTTTCTTAGCTAATACCTGCTAAGATAGAACTAATTTTGGCAAATGACATACCTTCTAAGAAAAGAGAGGGTGGGTGGGCGGGGCTGGCTACCTGGTAAGATAAAACTGATTTTGGCAAATAACATATCCTTTAAGAAAAGAGAGGGTGGGTGGGCGGGGCTAACTACCTGCTAAGATAAAACTGATTTTGGCAAATGAGATACCCTCTAAGAAAAGAGAGGGTGAGTGGACGGGGCTAGTACTTACTAAAATAAGACCGATTTTGGCAAATGACATACACAGATTGCTTCAAATTTTTCAAAAAAAAAAACTGAGTCCCAAAATTAGCTCATAAACAGGTCAGATAAGAGTCTTATTTCAGTAAGTACAAACCCCACCCACCCACCTCTCCTTTCTTAGAGTGTATCTGATATGCCAAAATTAGTTTTATCTTAGCAGGTAGTCAGCCCCGCCCACCCACCTTCTCTTTTCTTAGAAGGTATGTCATTTGCCAAAATCAGTTCTATCTTAGCTGGTAACAGGTTGAATATCTCTAGTGTTTGGTTGGTTACACTTTAATGGATTTTTCTTAGTTAATACCTGCTAAGATAGAACTGATTCTGGCAAATAACATACCTTCTAAGAAAAGAGAGGGTGGTTGGGCGGGGCAGACTACCTGGTAAGATAAAACTGATTTTGGCAAATAACATATCCTTTAAGAAAAGAGAGGGTGGGTGGGCGGGGCTAACTACCTGCTAAGATAAAACTGATTTTGGCAAATGGGATACCCTCTAAGAAAAGAGAGGGTGAGTGGGCGGGGCTTGTACTTACTAAAATAAGACCGATTTTGGCAAATGACATACACAGATTGTTTCAAATTTTTCAAAAAAAAAAACTGAGACCCAAAATTAGTTCATAAACAGGTCAGATAAGAGTCTTATCTCAGTAAGTACAAACCCCACCCACCCACTCTCTCTTTTCTTAGAGTGTATCTGATATGCCAAAATCAGTTTTATCTTAGCAGGTAGTCAGCCCCGCCCACCCACCCTCTCTTTTCTCAGAAGGTATGTCATTTGCCAAAATCAGTTCTATCTTAGCAGGTAACAGGTTGAATATCTCTACTGTTTGGTTTGTTATGCTTTAATGGATTTTTCTTAGCCAATACCTGCTAAAATAGAACTGATTTTGGCAAATGACATACCTTCTAAGAAAAGAGAGGGTGGGTGGGCGGGGCTGGCTACCTGCTAAGATAATACTGATTTTGGCAAATCACATATCCTTTAAGAAAAGAGAGGGTAGGTGGGCGGAGCTAACTACCTGCTAAGATAAAACTGATTTTGGCAAATGAGATACCCTCTTAGAAAAGAGAGGGTGAGTGGACGGGGCTAGTACTTACTAAAATAAGAGTAATTTTGGCAAATGACATACACAGATTGTTTCAAATTTTTCAAAAAAAAAACTGAGTCCCTAAATTAGCTCATAAACAGGTCAGATAAGAGTCTTATCTCTCAGTAAGTACAAACCCCATCCACCCACCCTCTCTTTTCTTAGAAGGTATGTCATTTGCCAAAATCAGTTCTATCTTAGCAGGTAACAGGTTGAATATCTCTAGTGTTTGGTTGGTTATACTTTAATGGATTTTTCTTAGTTAATACCTGCTAAGATAGAACTGATTCTGGCAAATAACATACCTTCTAAGAAAAGAGAGGGTGGGTGGGCGGGGCAAACTACCTGGTAAGATAAAACTGATTTTGGCAAATAACATATCCTTTAAGAAAAGAGAGGGTGGGTGGGCGGGGCTAACTACCTGCTAAGATAAAACTGATTTTGGCAAATGAGATACCCTCTAAGAAAAGAGAGGGGGAGTGGGCGGGGCTTGTACTTACTAAAATAAGACCGATTTTGGCAAATGACATACACAGATTGTTTAAAATTTTTCAAAAAAAAAACTGAGTTCCAAAATTATCATAAACAGATCAGGTCAGAGTTTTATCTTAGCTGATACGAGCGCCACCCACCCACTCTCTCTTTTCTTAGAGGGTATCTTATTTGCCGAAATCAGTTTTATCTTAGCTAAATACAGCTGTCAAACTAAACTGTCAGTCCTGTGAAGGCAAACACGTAACCTTGGTGTGTTCGAAATCTCCTAAGTTGTCAAATGGAGAACCATGAAGAACCTTCAAAAGCTCCACAAACAGAAGGTTTGTGCAACACTTTAAATAACGCTACATGTTAGGATGGATTTTTACAGACATTATTAGTGGTCAATTTAAAGGGCAAAGATATCACACGTCCAGTAAGACTGTATGAAGTGTCAATTATTGACACGGGATCACACCGGTCATAAATCGGCAGCGAAGCAGCCAAAGAAATAGGTTACGAAATCCTTAGAACAGAAGAAGTTATTCATGCTTCGTTTGGAGGTCTTTCATCTGAAGTCACTTCTCATCATTGCTATCGTGTCTATTTGGACAATCCTGATAAAAGTTACACTTGTCATTTTGAAACTTTGGACCAATCAGACATTTGTACGAAATGGTCCATGGGTGAAAATCCTGCAAGACCTTAACATCAAAATCAACGAGAGAAGCCAAACACCCATCGAAATCTTAATCGGTGCTAATATAGCAGGAAAACTCTTCTGTGGTGAACAACATATTCTAAAACGCGGTTTAGTTGCCATGAAAACTAAACTAGGCTGGACTCTGATGGATAAAGTGCCACTCCTCCTCCAGATGCACAAAAATCCTGCAACATTGTCGCTCTGTCACTTTTTTTAACAACTCCAAAATTGACAGATTTATGGACTCTTGATGTTTTGGGTATTGAGAATCTAGAAGAGCGAAAATCTAACCAAGAATACGAACAAGAAATCCTTGATAATTTTCAGAAGACAGTGACTAGACAACCGAATGGAAGATACGAAGTCTCAATGCCATGGATTCAGAGATACAAACCACTACATGATAATCTGAACCTAGCTAAGCCACTGTCAGCACAAGACGAAATTGAAGTAAATTTTCCAGAAATGGGTTTAAATGGTTCTAGTCGGTCAAACAGAAACACAAAAAACGGGGTCGCATCTAGAGCCAAACAAACTTCACCGTAATTTCTTTGACGAACCCCCAAGATTCCCTGCTGTTGCAAACTTTTTCAGCGACGATTCTGAAGAACAGATATTTAAATGTACTGTTGCAGTGGTGGCAGCAAACTGGGTTCTCGCTCTAGAACACTGCGTAGATGACAACACTCAATCGCTTGCTGTCAGAATCAATTCTAACTTCTGGTCCACCGGAGGACTTCTGAAGAAAGTAAAAAATGTGGTCAAAGTCGATGTCATCCAGTTGGTGGAAGACCAAGACGATTCGTGTTTCTTTCCAGCTAATTTGTCTCGTGACGTTGCTGACGACGCAACGGTTTATTTTTGGAACGGTGATGTCACCCTTCCCCTAGCAAAAAAGAGTAAATTCGAATCTATTCGCTCGAATAATTTTAAGTTACGGAAGTTTGACAACCGAGTTTTGTTTGAAGATGACAGGTGCGAGGGTCATAATGGGGCTCCTATTTTCGACGAAAAGAAAAAAATTGGTCGGTGTTCAACTGGGAACGTGTAGTATTAAAGCCCTATATACAAATTTTGACTGGTATAAGATAATTGAAGTGTTGACATAACTTTTTCCTTGTATTTGAGTTGTTAATAAATGGCAATCGCAGTTAGCGAAATTGTTTGTTAATAATTGTTTAGTTACCATTTTCAAAACATTGAAGCTTCAAAGTGAAAATGGTCAAAGTAAGTACAAACAGAAATTTTAATTGATCTAACTGCACAATTTTAGAACTGTTGGATGAATCTAACTCCTTTACAACTAGCATGCGTTCTAATCTTGATAGTGGCGATACCTTTTTTCATAGCAATGTTAGTCATTTACTTGATGTATGGCGTAATATGGCACAAATCTGAGCAATGTCAAAACTTATGTGCTTATGAAAAAGAGAATTTGTTAAATGCAGAGCCTGGTGATGAGATACCTATAGATGAGCAAACAAAAAAAGATATATTAGAACCCACAACAGCCTCACCACCACAGGAAACGTCCACACCAACCACACCTACACAGCGGCGCCCACCACCATTACCAGGAAGCATCGGAGACGAACTAATACCACCAGAAAAACGAAGACCGAGGCCACGACCGGGGCGTCCAAAACGTCTGAGCGAAAGGCGAGAAGAAATAAAAGAAGAAACGCAAATTCCGCAGCTCTTCTGTCCATCAAAACCAAGCAGCAGACTGCAAGAACAAGGAAAACAGGAGGACAGCAGAAGAAAGCAGAATGTTTTAGAACCTTTAATAAATGGTAAGAGAACAATATCCACCTACATCTTCTAAAATATGTTTTTAGATAACACCAAAGTACCAAATGTTCCTGTAGCAGCTCTTCTGGACAAGCTACATGTAGACGACACAAGCTATTATTTCAAATGCTCTGCTGTCGTTATTGCAGATGGTTGGGCTCTGAGTGTTACTAGATGTGCCGAAACAGGGATTTCTGCAATCAGATTCGGATCAAGCTATTGGTCTCAAGGTGGAATTTTCCGAAAAGTTAACGAAGTTTTGTATCCGAAAGGAACAAACTCGTTGGCGCTCATTGGTTTTACGAGGAGTGGTGTTACTGGAGCTTCAGTCGGACGATTCTGGGAAACTAAGAAAGTGTTAAGTTATAACTGGAGGAGCAACTTACATTTGCCTTTAGCTGAACGAAAGAAGTATGATCCTCTTGAAATTTCTGAGATGGAGCCGCGAAGAAACCTTAGTTGTTCTAATTCCAAGGGAAAAGAAGTTTTGTGTTATATGATGGACAAGAGTGGCTGTGACCGTGATGTGAATGCGCCTATGTTCAGCGAAAATCTGCAGTTGGTAGGGTTTCACTTGGAAACGTTGTGCCCAGAAAATACTAATAGTTCAATTGTAGTTTATGTTAATATCTAGTTTTCAAGCTTGATTTTGTGAGTAAATGTTAAGACGAGAGAAGTTTATTTTATTTTTTATGATCCGGACTTTGTCTTCACTATCACAAGGTTCTACTAGTGAAATACTGTAACAACAGGTCGTCATTAAGTATTCATATCATTTGGAGGCCCCGGACAATATTCAAAACATGGAGAAGATTATAAGAACCTGGATCTACACAAAACCTCATTTACCCAGATTTTTCACTAAAGAAAATCCAGACGTGAATCAAGTAAGGAGCAATATACAAGAAAATGCAGAATATTAGTCGGTTAGATCAGAGATACCTCGACTTGTTACTTGGACAAGACCCTGAAGATGTCGATTTGAATTCTGAGAATGTAAGTGGAAACCCAGGTTAATTTATCAATAGGTGTCATACAGAAAAACACACAGAGCACATCGTCGTGTTGCACTCAAAGTTGCTCTAAACTCCAACTAAAGTACCCTCAGGTAGAATTTAGAAAATTTGGTGGTGACATTCGTGACTGGTTGTCATTTTGGAGTCAGTTTAGAAGAATTCACGAAGATTAGGCACGCCAAATTGTTGAAAGTTATCCACCATTGGGAGATAACTATCTCAAGTTATCGAATAAGGCGTTTTGGAACACGAGATCTACAGATAGAAGTCTAGGTATGTGAACTTTTACAACACAACTCCGATCTCTAGAGACTCTAGGTGTGCAGTCCGACACTTGTTCAGCTATGCTGTTTCCCCTAGTCGAATCATGTCTTCCAGAAAATTTGCTAAGGATTTGGGAAATATCAATATTAACAATGATGATAGTTCAAAGGTGCGTCTAGATCGACTCCTGAGTTTTTGCGCAAAGAAGTTGAAAGCGAAGAACGAGTAGCTCTAACAGTTTCTGGTTTTGGAGAGAAATTCTAACGCAAAGATTCTCCAAAAGACGTTCTTACAGCTACAGCATTGTTGCGATGCCTATTTTGCTACGAAACACAGTACAACTCCGAGTGTCCAGAAGCTATGAAGAAATCTCTTACTGAACTAAAGAAAATCCTGTCGGAAAAAGGACGTTGTCATGCCTGCCTTAAATTTGGACATATAGCTAAATACAGCTGTCGAACTAAACTGTCAGTCCTGTGAAGGCAAACACGTAACCTTGGTGTGTTCGAAATCTCCTAAGTTGTCAAATGGAGAATCATGAAGAACCTTCAAAAGCTCCAGAAGCAGAAAGCTTTTGCAACACTCTAAATAACGCTACATATTAGGATGGATTTTTACAGACATTATTAGTAGTCAATTTAAAGGGCAAAGGTATCACACGTTCAGTAAGACTGTGTGAAGTGTCAATTATTGACACGGGATCATACCGGTCATAAATCGGCAGCGAAGCAACCAAAGAAATAGGTTACGAAATCCTTAGAACAGAAGAACTTATTCATGCTTCGTTTGGAGGTCTTTCATCTGAAGTCACTTCTCATCATTGCTTTCGTGTCTATTTGGACAATCCTGATAAAGGTTGCACTTGTCATTTTGAAGCTTTGAACCAATCAGTCATTTGTACTAATGTATTGGGTATACGAAATGGTCCATGGATGAAAATCCTGCAAGACCTTAACATCAAAATCAACGAGAGAAGCCAAGCACCCATCGAAATCTTAATCGGTCCTAATATAGAAGGAAAGCTCTTCTGTGGTGAACAACATATTCTAAAATGCGGTTTAGTTGCCATGAAGACTAAACTAGACTGGACTCTGATGGGTAAAGTGCCACTCCTCCTCCTGATGCACAAAAATCCTGCAACATTCTCGCTCTGTCACTTTTGTTAACAACACCAAACTTGACAGATTTATGGACTCTTGATGTTTTGGGTATTGAGAATCCAGAAGAGCGGAAATCTAACCAAGAGCACGAACAAGAAATCCTTGATAATTTTCAGAAGACAGTGACTAGACAACTGAATGGAAGATACGAAGTCTCAATGCCATGGATTCAGGGACACAAACATGATAACCTGAACCTAACTAAGAAAAGGCTCGACAATTTCATGAATAAGCTGGAAATGGATGGCTATTACACTGAATACGACCAAGTTTTTCAAGAATGTTCGAAAGAAGGTATAATCGAGGAGGTTAACGACAGCGGGATTGGTACCTCAGTTCACTATCTACCTCATTGTCATGTGGTAAAATTATCAAGTACTACAACTAAGTTACGACCCGTGTTCGAGGCGTCCGCCAGAGAAAAAGATAGTCCATCACTGAACCAAATTTTATATGTATATAATTTTGGGTGCAACGACATGTTTTTGTTCACATAGAATTTTGCGACCATTTACTTCCCTGTGTTTATAACCCATTGACTTAAGAATTTTGTATAATGTGGTTCGCTCCCCTTTAAATTCCAACTGTTCCCTAGAATATGCCAAAAGAGTATCTAGAGTGAAATATTCGTTTTTTTCATTAAGTTGCCAAATTTGTCGTTGCAGGTCTTTCCGAAACATACAATTTGTAAATAAATCCGTTGATTTTCGCTTGCCGGATAGTGATGTTTTTAAATTTTGGTCCCCTGTTGATAAAATTTTCGCCACAGTTGATGTTCCCACCTATGAGAAAAAAAATTAAAAAATATTTTATAGCGTATTTTCACATTACAGAAAATATGTTCGAGATCCTCACATTTCGAAAGAAAGATCGGGCCTGTCTTTTCGAAACTGCAAAAAACATCTTTTTATTGCAATTTTTTGTGGCAGTAAAACTATTTTAGGCATTTTCTTCTTAAATAATGTCGCAATGATCTGTGAATCTGTCACAATGACAAATTATCTGATTAAAAAATTGCGTCTAATAATTCTATATCTTGCCTTTTTTTTCTCAATATACATAGCCGTCTTTTCACAACAAGAAACTTAAAACATGGTTAAAATGGTACATTTTTGTAAGGAAATATGCATGTTGCACTTATTAATTTTACATTTTAAACATATTTTAAGTTTGATGTTGTAAAAAGAAGTCTACACTTATTAAAACAGAAAGACAAATTGTCAGCCCGCCCACCCGCCCTATCTTAATTGTGATGATTTTTTTATTCGCTGTGAATCAATGTAGGCGGAGCTTAACTGTAAAACACTTATTTTTTTACGAGAAATTAAAAACATGTTTTTGAGGATCGTGTTGTTCAAAGAATACTATCTATATTAAGAAAAAAAGGTCAAATATAAACCCCGCCCAACCAACCCAATTCAATCTTGATGATTTTTTTTATTCTTAGAAACTTAAAACATATTTAAAATGGTAAATTCCTCTAGATAAGTCTGGATCTGGTAATTAAGCCCCGTCCCTCGACCTCGCAACGAATGAAAAATTCATCAGAATTGAGAATTGAGGTCGGGGCGGGTCAGGGTGGGGTCTAATATTTGGCTTTATTTTTCTTAATATTCATAGTATTCTTTGAACAACACGATACTGAAAATGATTTTAATTTCTCAAATAAGGATTTTGCAGTTAAGCTCCGCCTCCTTGGCTCACGACGAATAAAAAAAATCATTACAATTGATACAGGGTGGGTGGGCGGGGCTTATATTTTGCCTTTTTTTCTAATATACATTGCCATCTTTTCACAACAACTAACTTAAAACATGGTAAAAATGGTACATTTTTGCAAGAAAATATGTATTTTGCAACTGTGCGGCGGACCCTAATTGTAAAATTGATGTTTCCTTATATAAACTTTCCATTTTAAATATATTTTACGCTTCAGGTTATGAAAAGAAGTCTACATATATTAAAACAAACAGGCAAAATGTCAGCCCGCCCACCCGCCCTATTGCAATTGTGATGATTTTTTTTATTCGTCGTGAATCAATGGGGGCGGAGCTTAACTGCAAAACACTAATTTCTTTACAAGAAATTAAAAACATGTTTTTGAGCATTGTGTTGTTCAAAGAATACTACGTACACTAAGAAAAAAAAGGCAAAACATAAACCCCGCCCACCCACCCCATCTCAATTCTGATGATTTTTTTATTCTTAGAAACTTAAAACACGTTTAAAATGGTAATTTTTTGTAAGGAAATATGGGTTTTGCAATTAGGCTCCGCCCCTAGGTCTGCCAATAAATAAAAATTGCATTACTATTTAGATCAGGGCAGGCATGGGTGGGGCTTTAACTTTTTCTTAATATACACAGTATTTTTTGAACAACACGTTACTCAAAAACATGTCTTTAATTTCTCGTAGAGAAATAAGGATTTTGCAGTTAAGCTCCGACCCTTGGTTCACGACGAATAAAACAATTCATTACAATTGAGACAGGGTGGGTGGGCGGCGCTATATTTTGCCTTTTTTTTCTTGATATACATAGTCATCTTTTGATAACAAGAAACTTAAAACATTGTGCTGATTTTTTTATTCGTCGTGAATCAATGAGGGCGGAGCTTAACTCTAAAACACTTATTTCTTTACAAGAAATTAAAAACATGTTTTTGAGGATCGTGTTGTTCAAAGAATAATGTGTATATTAAGGAAAAAAAAGCAAAATATAAACCCCGCCCACCGACCCAATCTCTATTCTGATGATTTTTTTAATTCTTAGAAACCTAAAACATGTTTAAAATGGTAAATTCTTCTAGACAAAAAAATTGATCTTGCCATTAAGCCCCGCCCCTCGACCCCACAACAAATGAAAAGTATAGGTGGGGCCTAATCTTTGGCTTTATTTTTCTTGATATACATAGTATTCTTTGAACAACTGAAAATGCTTTTAATTTCTCGTAGAGAAATAAGGATTTTTGGAGTTCAGCTCCGCCCTCTTGGATAACGACGAATAAAAAAAAATCATCACAATTGAGATAGGGTGGGCGGGCGGGGCTACATTTTGCCTTTTTTTTCTTATTATGTGTAGACTTATTTCGGCAACAAGAAACTTAAAACATGTCCAAAATGGTAAATTTTTATAGTAATAAATGAAGTAGAAAAGTGGCAATCCAGCTCAAAGCAAACGTCAATCAGACTACTGACAGACAAAAAACTAAAGCATCAAATCAGTATATCCAACTTAAAGAAAAAATATCAAAGCCTACTTTACTATATAAAGATCGTGAATGGATAATAATCGATTGTGGGAACCCATGGTAACGCAAATCGACCCAACAATACAAACACAGGCCATGCGTCATGGGTCTTTTCACAAAGTTCGTGTATCTTTTAGGGGTGCGAAAGAAAGAAGTCAACGTTTTAGTGGTAGGGCTTAACAACAGCGGCAAATCTACAGTAGTCAACCACTTCAAAAATGAAGAAGAACGCGTGTCGGAAATTGTGCCAACGGTGGGTTTCAGCGTCGAAAGGTTCCAAAGTGAGTACAAAGTTTGTTAACCCCAGCTCCCGCCATGTTGCCAGAGCAAAACCGTGACCCTGGAATAATGTTGTCACTTTTTCCAGACCAGAACCTGGCCTTTACAGCCTTCGATATGTCGGGGCACGGTCGCTACAGGGACCTGTGGGAGCACTACTACAAGGACTGCCACGGCATCATCTTCGTGGTGGACAGCAGCGACAGGTTGAGACTCGTGGTGGTGAAAGAAGAACTGGATTTGCTGCTGCAGCACCCGGATATCTGCAACAGGAAGCTGCCGATTTTGTTTTTCGCCAACAAAATGGACTGTAAAGACGCTTTGAGTAGTGTGAAGATTGCTGCAGGGTTGGGGTTGGACAAGATCATGGATAAGCCCTGGCACATTGCGGCTAGTAATGCTTTGACTGGCGAGGGTCTGCAGGAAGGCGTCGAGTGGTTGACGCAGCAGATAAGGGATGTTATTTTGAGCAAGAATTAACTGGGTGGTTGTGCTGTAATTGTAGTTTTTGTATACATAAAAAGTTAACAAATATAAATTTTTATACAATTTTTTGCCTCTGGACAAAGAAGTTGTCCCAATTTTATAAAAGGTTGGACGAAGGTGATTTTGATAGAAATTCCCTAGCCCGTGAAATGTACTCTAACAAATCCGCAATAAATGTTAAAACCAATGGCGTAAATAACACCCCAGCAGCTTTTTTGACATAATTTTTTTTCGGTTTTTTATTTTTTTCGTTTTTACAATGTTCTGATTTTGGCATTTTTCTTTTTTAATGTAAAATTTTTCAATTTTTGGATTTTTCAATGTATCGTTTTTTCAAATTTTAGTTTTTTAATTTTTTATTTTTCAACTTTTGACTTTTCAGTTTTTCGATTTGTAAGTTTTTAGTTTCTTCAATTTCTGATTTTCAATTTATCTATTTTTCGTTTTAAATATGTAACAATATTTATAATTTTTAAAATTTTTACACTTTTTTAATTTTAGGATTCGAATTTTTCCATTTTTCAGTTATTGGATTTTAATTTAGTTTACCAATATTTCGATCTTTCAATTTTACAATTTTTCGGTTTTCTATTTTTTAGATTTGATTGGTTTTTTCTTTTTTCCAATTTTCCGATTCATTACTTCTTTTAGATTTTAAAGTTTCTCGATTTTTAGTTTTCCTATGTTTCAATGTTTCGTTTCTTCAGTACTTCAATTTCCAATTTATCGATTTTCCACTTTTACGATTTTTCAATTTCCCGTTTTTTCAGTTTTTCGATTATTCAATTTTTTCCGAATTTTTTAGATTTTCGATTTTTCAACTTTTCAAAGGAAATGAAAACACGAGAAATTGTGATATAAAATCGAGACTCTGTAATGTAAAATTTGGAAAATGAAAATCAAAAACTTGAAAAATTGAGGTATCAAAAAATTGAAAAAATCCATAAATTAAAAACTGAGGAAGAAAATCGAAAAATGAAAACTTGTAACATTAAAAAATAGCAAAATTGAAAAATTTTGGAACTCGAGAAATTAAAATATTGAAAAAAATTAAAGTTTAAAGACAAAAAAACATGAAATGAAACACTGAAAAATGGAAAAATTGAAAAAATAAAGAACATGAATAAAACGTAAAATTCGAAAAACCTGGATGTATTTATTTTCGACTTTTTTTTATATCACAATTTCTTTTTTCTTCATGTTCTTTATGTTTTCAGTGTTTCCATCTTTTCCATTTTTCAATTGTTCGTTTGCATAATTTTTCGTCTTTCAATTTTAATTTTTTTAATTTTTCAATTTCTCGACTCCCAAATTTTTCAAATTCTCGTTTCTTCAATTTTTCGATTTTGTAATTTTTCGCGTCCTCAATTTTTCAAGTTCTTGATTTATATTTTTCATTTTCCCGACTTTTTAATTTTCATTTTCTCGATTTTATATCGCAGTTTGTCGTTTTTTCATTTCATTTATTTTTTTCAATGTTTCTTTCTATTTTATTATTTTATTGTTTTTCCTTTATTCAATTTTCCAAATTTTCAATCTTCGATGTATCAGTTCTTCAATTTTTCAATTTAGCAATTTTTGGATTTGTCAGTGATCCCATTTTTCGATTTGTTTAATTTTCAATATTTCGATTTTACAATATTTCATTTTTTCGATTTTGCAATTTTTCGATTTTTAAATTTCTCAAATTTTAATCCTTCGATTTTTCAATTTTGCGTTTCTTCAGTTTTTCAAGTTCTTAAACAAATAAATACCATAGAGATTTTTTTTATATCACAATTTTTCGTTTCTTTATGTTTTTTTTTATTTTTCCATTTTTCACTGTTTCGTTTACATAATTTTTTTTCAACCTTAATTTTTTCCATATTTTCAATTTCTCGATGGCCAAATTTTTGAAGTTCTCGTTTCTTCAATTTTCCGATTTCCATTTTTTCATTTTGCAATTTTTCTTTACCATTTTTTCATTTTTCGATTTTTTCACTTTCTCAGTTTTAATTTTTTGATTTTTCAATTTTTTGATTCCTCAAATTTTGAAATCCTTGATTTTTATTTTTTGTATTTTCCCGATTTTATATCACAGTTTGTCGTTTTATCATTCCTTTTATTTTTTTCAATATTTCGTTCTATTTTATTATTTATTATTTTTGCTTTATTCAATTTTCCAAATTTTCAATCTTCGATATTTCCGTTCCTCAGTTTTACAATTTTTAAATTTTTTAAAATAGCAATTTTTGGATTTCTCCGTTATCCAATTTTCCTATTTGTCTAATTTTCAATATTACGATTTTACAATATTTCATTTTTTTCGATTTTGCAATTTTTCGATTTTTAAATTTCTCAAATTTTAATCCTTCGATTTTTAAATTTTTCGTTTCTTCAGTTTTTCAACTTCTTGATTTAAATTTTTCGAAAAATCTGAATGTAAATTATATACCTTCCAGATTTTTTTTTAATATCACAATTTTTCGTTTCTTCATGTTCTTTTTTTATTATTCCATTTTTCACTGTTTCGTTTCCATAATTTTTCGGCTTTCAACCTTAATTTTTTCCATTTTTTCAGTTTCCCGACCCCCAAAGTCCTCGTTTCTTCAATTTTTCGATTTCCAGTTTTACAATTTTGCAAATTTTTGTTACAATTTTTCAATTTTCGATTTTTCTAGTTTCTCATTTTTCGATTTTTTTTATTTTCTCAGTTTTTAATTTTTTGATGCCTCAATTTTGCAAGTTCTTGATTTTTATTTTTCATTTTGTCCGATTTTTCGATTCCTTTAATTTTCAAGATTTGATTTTACAATATTTCATTTTTTTCGATTTTGCAATTTTTCCATTTTTAAATGTCCCAAAAATTTTATCCTTCGATTTTGCAATTTTTCCATTTTTAAATGTCCCAAAAATTGTATCCTTCGATTTTTCAATTTTTCGATTTTTTTCGTTTCTTCAGTTTTTCATGTTCTTGATTTAAATTTTGCGAAAACTGGATGTAATTATCATCGATATTTTTTTTCGTCTCTCATGTTCTTTTTTTTATTTTTCCATTTTTCACTGTTTCGTTTACATAATTTTTCGGCTTTCAACCTTAATTTTTTTAATTTTTCCAGTTGCTCGACTCCCAAATTTTTCAGATTCTCGTTTCTTCAATTTTTCGATTGCAATTATTCAATTTTGCAATTTTTCGATATTTGTTTTTTCATTTTTAGATTCTTCAGTTTCTCAATTTTTAACTTTTAGTTTATCCAATTTTTCGTTTCCTCAATTTTTCAAGTCCTTGATTTTCTTTTTTCCCGATTTTTTAATTTTCATTTTCTCGATTATTTATCACAGTTTATCGTTTTTTCGTTCCATTTATTTTTTTCAATGTTTCTTTCTGTTTTATTATTTTATTATTTTTGCTTTATTCAATTTTTCAAATTTTCAATCCTCGATATTTCCGTTCCTCAATTTTTCAATTTTTAAATTTTTTAATTTAGCAATTTTTGGATTTCTCAGTTATCCAATTTTCCGATTGTTTAATTTTCAATATTTTGATTTAATCTGGATGTAAATTATACCTTCGAGATTTTTTTTAATATCACAATTTTTCGTTCCTTCATGTTTTTTTTTATTTTTCCATTTTTCACTGTTTCGTTTTCATAATTTTTCGGCTTTCAACCATAATTTTTTTCATTTTGTCAGTTTCTCGACTCCCAAATTTTTCAAGTCCTCGTTTCTTCAATTTTTCGATTTCCAGTTTTTGAATTTTGCACATTTTTGTTACAATTTTTCAATTTTAGATTTTTTTAGTTTCTCATTTCTCGATTTTTTTCAATTTCTCAGTTTTTAATTTTTTGATGCCTCAATTTTGCAAATTCTTGATTTTTATTTTTCATTTTCCCAATTTTTTAATTTTCATTTTCTCGATTTTATATCACAATTTGTCGTTTTTCCATTTCCCTTATTTTTTCAATGTTTCTTTAGATTTTATAGTTATTCGTATATTCAATTTTCCAAATTTTCAATATTTGTTGTTTCAATTCCTCCATTTTCCAATTTTTAAATTTTTTAATTTTTCAATTTTTGTCTCAATTATCCAATTTTCCGATTTCTTTAACACTTTATAGATTTTTAAGTTCCTCAAAATTTTAAAACTTCGATTTTTCGTTTCTTCACTTTTTCAAGTTCTTGTTTTAGAATTTTTCGAAAAATCTTCGGCAATTTTTTTTATATCACACTTTTTCGTTTATTTATGTTTTTTTTAATTTTTCCACTTTTCAATATTTCGTTTACATAATCTTTCATCTTTCAACTTTCATTTTTTCAATTTTTCAATTTCTGGACTTCCAAATTTTTCAAATTCTCGTTTCTTCAATTTTTCGAGTTGCAATTTTTTAATTTAGCAATTTTTCGCCATTACAACTTTTCATTTTTCGATTTTTCAGTTTCTCAGTTTTTAATTTTTCGATTCGATGAAAATATTCAATTTTCCAAATTTTCAATATTTGATGTTTCAATTTCTCCATTTTCCGATTTTTAAATTTTTCAATTTTGCAGTTTCCGATTTCTTCATCAATTTTCTCAAAATTTTAATCTTTCGATTTTTCAGTTTTTCGTTTCTTCAATTTTTCAAGTTCTTTTTGAATTTTTAGATTTTTCGTAGTTTTTATTTTACACTTTTTCGGTTTCTTCATTTTTGATTCTTCAGTTGTACAATCTCGTAATTTTTGCATTTTTTGAACTGAAAATTTGAAAAATCGAAAAATTAATAAAAACCGAAAAACAAAAAAAATCGGAAAAAACTGAATAATGAAAAACTGAAAAAGCAGGAAATTGAAAAATCGTCAGAGTGGAAAATCGAGAAATTGGCAATTGAAAAACTGAAGAAACAAAAAATTCAAACATTGGAAAACTTAAACATCTAAAAAAATAATGAATCGAAAAATTGAAAAGACGAAAAAACGAATAGAATCGAAAAAATAGAAAACCAAACATTTTCAGTTTTTCGTTTCTTTAGTTCATGATTTCAAATTTAAAAAAAAAAAATTGAATTTCCTTTATTTTTTTCA